AATGGCAGCAAGATGCAAAGGCGTGTTGCCATCCTTGTCCTGCTGGTTCACCAGGCTTCGAAAGCTCCTCAACTCTAACATCTTTTGGACCGTGTAGGCCTGTCGCTTGTCGACCGCGACATGGAGCGCTGTCCTTTCGTGTGAATCCAACAGCTCCCAGATGTCGGGACAGTGCTTGGAGAAGATCTTGAGGACTGCAGCGCGGCCTTCCTTGGCCGCGACGTGCAGGGCTGAGACGCCTCTGCCATCTTTCTTGTAAGCCATGGATGGTTTGTGTTGTAATATTAGCTCGACGAGTTCCTCGGACCCGAGGCTGGCTGCATAGTGCAGAGGAAGCCAACCGTAGTCGTCTGGTTTTGTTAGTATGTCTTCAAACTTGGCCAACAGCTTTAGAGTAAACTCTGTTAATTAGTAAGGATGGAGTGAAAAAGTTAGAATAGTTTCTCAAAATTTACTCATTCTCGAGAAAATGTTGTTATTACAATTTAGTCGTTTAGATTTTGTAAGTTAATTTGGCCATATATAGTACAATATGCATAAAAGAAACATTACTACTTTTTAAAGCCACATCTACGTACACCAACACCAGCATCATCATAGAGAGTTTAAGAGATTTAATGAACTAATTAGATAATTAGAAGTCGTTATAATTGTAATTGGGAGGAAAAGGAAATAAGAGAGTACTTTTTTGAGGGGGCCTAAGTTTAGAAGTGATTCTCCTTTCGCAGTAGGGAAGGCCCAGCACTCGGGGAAGGACGTGGTTGATGTGCAATATTGGAAGACACAAATACACTCGAAGTGGAGTCTCAATCAGATTCTGTGTGTACCCTGTCGAGTATAATATCACCTTTAACAACAATAATTAAAGAAAAATCTCAATTGTCACTCTTTTTTTTTCTTCAAGAGTCGGAGATTCGAATCTCCACTCTCACGGGTGGTTCGTGGTTGAACTTAAAAACCATCAATTTTAGTCCATAAGATTTAAATTTAGTTTCTATTTGGCTCTCACATTTCAAAAATGACCTATGTGATTTCTAATGTTTGAATTTAGTTTTAAATTGGTCTTTAAGGTGTGAGATTGATTTCGAATTGATTTGAATTTGGTTTCTAATTGGTCATTGAATCGAGTCGACCTTTAATTGACCTAACGAAATCATGATGTCACAATTAATATATTTTGACTGACTTAAGTAAAAGAGAATGAAAAATCTTGTTAGGTTGAGTACTCAACTTAACTCAATGACCAATTAGAAAAATCTAATTATTCAAACTCGAGGAGCCAATTAAAAAATCAAATTGAAACTAAATTTAAATATTAGCTCGGCCAAATCAAAAATGATTTTATTCAAAATCTCATCGATCAAAAATGTATTTTAGGTTTTTTTTTTTGTTTTTGGTTCGGGTAACATTTAAATTAGAACTAAAATTGAAAATTTAAATTGAAACTCATTGGAGTCTGGGACTTACGTTTGAGAGTGCGAATGATAATGGCGTGAAATAGATTGGCTCCGCCTCTTCCGCCGTAGTCGCAATTCGCTTCTTTCACTTCCAAAATCTCCGTCGCTATATCCCAATAGTTCTTCTCCGCCGCCACAAACAGCGGCGAATCTCCCGCTCCGTTCACCCGCGCCACCA